AGTTTAATGAGAGAATTAAGATGTTGCTTATAATGATATGTAAATAATAATATGCTGTGATTGGAAATGTTTTAACCATTTCTTCATCAGTCCTGTTTGTATACATGATATACATACTGCAGCACATCCATATATTAAACATAAAAATAGGTATCATTTGTAGAAACATTTGTACATTGAATATTTTATTTAGTTTGTGTGATATAAGGCATAGCTGTAGATGGACATGCCTACAATTAAATCATAAATGTTCTAATTAATTGCATTATAGAGACATATATGAGAAATACTAAGCAAAATATTATCATAAATTATAAAAAAAATGTAATTTGCGATCGATTCACGGTGTATTGTTACTTCACACAGTGAAGTTAATATTTTCTATTGTAGTATTCACACATACACACATGCAAACTCGCGATGTATATATATATATATATATATATATATATATATATGCACATGTAATAATTCTTTTAAAAAAATTACATTATAATCCATATATATTGTTCGTTAGCTCCAGCTGTTATTTCTTGACGCACTAAGACTAATCTGTTTTGTCTTCCGCAGTTTGCGGAATCGATTCCTAACAGATCAGAATCGAATACATGGAAACAATCATTAACTCGTTGGAACCTGGAGTTTGTACATCTGCATTTAATAAAATAAATTGAATTATGTTTTTCACTAAAACTATGATCATGAAGCAGAGATGGTAAGCAACGCGTTACTTTTCTTATCATTTTCTTTCTATTATAATAACGATTTAATAACGACAAATATTAATTGTCATGACTATAACGGTAACATCAAAGTTGGAAAATCACTCGATCGTTACTTATAACGAGTTGAAAAAATGATTCATTACTGAAAAAGATAATTTGTCATTTGTAAAGATAATTTGTCACTTTGCGTTACTTTTTACTCGTTACTTGTAACGAATACATTAAGCGTTACAAGTAACTTTTTTAAGTAAGTAAAAAATTATTTTTAAAAGTGATTTTTTTCAAACTTAGTGTATTATTTAATGTGTAATTAATTATCGTTATAATCATAAAAGAATTGTAATGGCATCGTTATTATAGAAATATATAATAAGAGTAATAAGGTTATTATTTGCCATTCTTTTTACGAAGTAAATGTACGTATGTACCGACCTGATAATAACTCCACAAATCAAAGCATTTAACAAATTGACATATTTTGGAATATTAAACACAAATTTAATACAGATATTTAACACAGATACTTTGTACACAGTATAATTAATAATTTCCTCGACCACTTCGGTTATGGAAATAAATACAATCCATCCGAATATTATTCGAATTATCCAATTACGCAGCTGTTGATATTCCTTTGATACTCCGAGTGCTTCCAATGTGTCGTCCACTATGGATAGTTCATGTAAGCACATTTTTAATTCCTTTAAAACATCGTATTGATCGATTACGCGACACAAAAATAAATTGTTATAATCTTATATTTAAAGCGTAATAAATATATCTTTAATTATATTGTATACAATTAAATGCTATTATTTTCAAAATGTAATTTAATTATAATTATCAACAAATTATATAAAAATTGTGTTCATAACATACTGTTTTATTGAACACATTTTTATAGTTTGTTTATTGTATTTGTTATTATTTTTATTATTATAAATTAAAATTTAAAGATGACAAAAATTTAAATTTTTTAAAATAAGTACTTCAGTATTCAAAATAATTCATGTGAAATTTCTTTGCGGTTCACTAATTATGTTATGAAGATTTAGAATAAATAAATATTTTGTTTATTTATTTGACCACTAATTCACGTATCGCAATGTAACTTTAACCAATAAGAAATAAAATTACAATGTAACTTCATTTATGTAAATAATATTGAACTACAGGAAGAACTTATATTAAAAAATTGAGATATTAAAAATTGAGATATATTAAAAAACTAAGATTTTTGTCATTTATTTTATAATAACATTTCTATTAGAGCACAAATTAAAAAAAATTATTATTTATAAAAAATACATATATGTAATATGTACATATATTATACATATACATGATCCAAATATTATTTTAAATGTAATTTAGAATAATCTAATTTTTTAATAATTTTGTTATTTTTATGCAACGAAACATCCTTAAGAAATTTTACAAACTTTAGAAACATGAGATATATTTTAACACTCTTACCTTCGAATGAAAAAAACTAATAGGGATCGCTATAAGCACGATAATATGTATTATTATTTGATGAAGAGTATAATCTGTTAAGATTATAGAATGGCTGCGATAAATGAAATACACATAAAAACTCCATATGGCGCAAACATACAGATAAGAAAGATATCGCTTAGATTGTGCTAAGAAATATTCAAACGAGCCCAAACTGCAGAATGATCCAATTATCAATAATGGTGCTAGTGCTGTCTGTATCGTCTTCATAGTTTCCTTGTCATCGACTAGAAATTTGAATTAAATTTTTTTGCCACAAGACACAGACGCGTTTTAATACATTTTATAAAAATTCAAAAACAGTTTTATTTTATTTTTGCAGATCCTAGGAACTTCGTAATAGTGCACTGCAAGGTATAGTTGAAAAATAAGAGATATGTACATGCTGTTTAACCAGCAAATTGAGCGGTAGAATAAACACTCAGATAATCTAGATTAGATTGTTCTTTTTTTCATTGAACTTTATTTATATGTATATATTATTTCAAGATGAACAGTTGTAAACGTGACAATTTTTGCAATATTATGTCTTTTTATATAAATATTTAACTGATGCAATCGTATGCAATTGTATTGAGCACAATTATGTAGTGAACAGTTAAAAACTCTGAACGTCACATTTATAGTTTTCTTCAACATCGTCAAATTATTTAACTATTATTTATCTTATTAGTTCTTTTATTTTATGAATTTCTAATTAATATGTTTAATTGTTATAGATAAAGAGATAATATTAATATAATGTTAAATATGAAAAGAGCAAATTATTTTATATAATATTATTAGAGATTTAAGATCTGATAAATATCTTCATTTCCATGATAATAATGATCCTTACATTGTTACGTAAAATTGTAAAAAACGAATCGATTAATTAAGTATAAAAACACTCACTTATTGAAACGCAAGACTATAAAATAAGTTTGATAATAGAAATTACTATACTTGGTGTAAGTATATAAGCAATAAGTAAAAATAGCAATTTTGATAAAGAAAATGTTAAAAAAATAATTTTCTGAATTGTTATATAATATAAATACGAATGTATAAATATAATGTATTTTGTATATTGATGACATTATATTAGAAAATCATATAATAACGAAAGAAAGAGTTAAATTGCAATTGTAATTAAAAAAAATTCTTAAGCTATATTATTAACCATATTAACTATATTAATAAATGTATTATCAGGAGGCCACTGGTGAAGTGAGATGGGATGTTAATAAAGATCACATTAATTAAGTATAAACAATATGAAATAATTAAAAATAATACAAGTAAATAATATAAGTAAAAAATTTATTTATACATCAATAAAGTAGATTTTTATTAGATATATATATATAATACTATGTACAGATAAATATATAATAATATTAAACCATGACTTGCTTTGGCTCTAAAAACTTTTTAAAATAATGAATGTGTCTGTAGAATTCTTCCGTTCGTGTTTTTATCTTTCTATTCACAACTGTAGAGATATTAAAAGGAAAATGTTTAACAAAAAAGCTTATCTGAAACAAATGATATGTTGATGATCTCATTAACACAATTTCATTTATTCTTATAAAACATTATTTTTCATAGCACATGAGAAATAATTATTGAATCTATCCAAAAAGTAATTGCAAAAGGAAAATCGAATTAGAAAATTGTGAAATGGAATTGTGACAATCAAAAAAAATTTGTTAATAAAGCATAGAATTTATTGATAAAGAAGAAACAAAATAATAAAAGAATTTTGGAAAAAATTGGGAAAACATTTCTCTTTAAAAGGGGAGAAATAGGAAAAGTAAAATATTCATAAAAGAAGAAAAGAAATTATTGGAAACAAATTATTGAAAAGGAATTAAAAAGAATTCTAATAATGAAGACTGAAAAGAAAAACGACGAAGAAGAAACATTATATAATAGAAAATATATATACTATATTTATATTTATAAAATTTACTTGGAAAAGATGATTCTCAGAATGTGAATAATTAATCATATCTGCTAAAGCTACCCTTTTATCGATTTCTCTGTAAAAAATAAAATTCTGAAGATAATTAATGACATATTCACATATCTTTTACACATAAATTTTTATGATCTTAAGCAATACATTTATAAAAAGAATATTGCATTACCTGGGTACTATTTTTTCAAAATTTTGTAGAATATATTTAAAGACTAAATCATTGTCTATATGTTTTGCAATAATAGAATGAAAAATTACAATGCACTGCTTTACATCAGTAAAATATCTCGACTTTAAAAGATTGATATAGTCAATGATGATAGTATCAGATTTAGAGCACGCTAAAAATTCTAAAAGTTGATTGTTTAATGGTTTCTTTTCCTCATTCAACACTTTGTTCCAAGTTATATTATTTGCTTTCATTATTCCTTTACAATAAGTCCATTCTTTCCATCCCGGAAAAATTCTAAAATATTTCATAAAATATGAATTGAAATTTTTTACGACAAATAAGTTTCTGTTACTTTATATTAATTTATTTTATATTTTGAAAATTTGTTCTGTATATATATATATATATATATATATA